CGGGTTTACAGCGTGCAGAGCAGATCCCAGTGCCTACAACCAACAAGACGTTTATTGGCCTTTTGGATCCATAGCTGATGCTGCGTGATGTGTCCGTCTGAGGCAAGGGGGGGTTGCAAGGGCACCGAGGGAAGCGACAGAGTCAGCAAGGGCATTTGGGCAGGACATCGGCACAGCACTTGCATGAGGAAAGTGGGAAAAGCTGCTCCTGCCCCAGTATTGGCAAACTGGGGACCGTCACTGCACTGGGCGACGCCAGCCCTGACCGGGCACTGACCGATGCATTTGTGCACAGCATGGGAGCAGCAGAGCTAGAGGACCCAAGAGAAGCTGTTGGGACATGGGAGCCCCCATGCTCCCTCCCGCCCGCCCCACACGGCCTCTGTGCGTCGTTGTGAGGTCCCAGCCCCGTGGCACCATCACGTGCAGCCGGCAGAGCTCCGGGGCTGCCCTTGCCTTACCTGCATCTGCTCAGGCACCCATGGGCCTCTCTCGGGGGGCTTCAGTTTGCTGGGTTTGGTCATTTTTCATACGGGTCGACTCTTGAGGGTTCAGGGACTTGGCAGGCTTGAAAAGCTGCTGTGCCAAGGGGAAGGTGAACCAGCTGGGACGGGCAAGCTCACAGCTCCTCTCCTCTGTGGAAAGAACAGACACTCTCAGGCATGCCCACGGGCAACTGGCACCCACCTGCCGCCGAGCGTGCCCACACCACTGGGACACCCGGGGACGTGCCCATGGTCCCAAGCAGGAGAGTTGCTGTGGATGTGTCCCCCTCCCCTTTAGAGCCATCAAGGTCCCGGCTGAAGAGTCCGGTGGTGGCATCACCAGTGGCCACCTCTGGGGCCAGCCATCCCTGGACACGTCGCCCTCCCTCTTCCCCTCCCATCACCCCATCAGATGGCAGCCAGGCTGGGAGCCGAGGCCCACAGGGCTGCCACACACCTAGTCTGGGACTTGTTGTCCTTCTCCTCTGTCTTGAGGTGGCACCGGCAGGTGGAGGCCTTGCTGTAGCTGACGGAGCGCTTGGTGGACTTCCACTTCCGTGCTCGCCGCACAACCCGCTTGAAGATGAGGTAGAAGATCTCACAGACGGTGAGGACGATGCAGATGGAGGAGGCTCCAACCATGAAATAGGTGAAGACTCTTTTCTCGGTTGGCCGAGCAATGTAGCAGTCTACAGTGTTGGGGCAGGGGGCCACGTTGGCGCATTTGACCAGCCGTGGCAAGTCGAAGCTGTCCCACATCTTGTGGAGG